AGACTTTTATACAAGGAAGTACAATGTAATTTTAATTTTTGTGTATACAGTACTTTAAACTTCAAGTACGTTTACTGGTTCCTAATTTCTAAAGGTAACATTTTATGTACCTACATTTTTATACATTTATAAGTGCAAATTCATACTTTGTACTACTGAAATTTATAAAGAAATGATAATGATAAGTGTATAAAAATTTTCTACTAGAATATGATTATACATTTCATATTGTTTTAGCTTTAATGAACATCTTAACCAAAGTAAATCTTGATAGTTTTCTTCACTTATCAATATACTGTACTCAATCAACTAATTATTTAACATACTGAATATTAAAAACCTGATCAGCTAAATAGGCAAAATGACATTCTCCTAAATTAAATTTGTTCTAATAACCTAACGTATCTGCCAGGATTATAGTTAGTATTTGCATAGTGATGGCTAAAGACACTTAGCTAATTCTCAGTAGTGCCTTACAAAGAGGCATACTGTTGGAAGAAAATTACATGCATTATATGTTCTTTCAGCTTAATGAATCTAAAGTACTCCTACAGAAATAGAGATCCAAATTTATAATAACTTCAAAGTGATGCATGTCTGTTCTGGTCTGCTGAGCTCCAAGCTACAAGACTAAATTCACCCTCAGTTTTGTTTAGCTGTATTTTTTTAGGGATGGATCTACTTCTTCTTAATGAAAGACCTACTGAACTGGCATCTAAGACTTTTTCCTGTATGTGCTTCATCACCTCATATATTGTGCTAATTTGTCATTATCACAGAGTGTAAATTAACCCTAACATTAACTGTAAATGTTAACGGTACTGTACAGTATGTAAAGTAACTGTACATTGTTGAAGAGTTTAAGGTATTCTGACTAGTTGAGCCTGGTGAAAGTCTCCCATTGGAGTTTGGAGGTGCCAGTTGAGGGGGGGGTTCTGGGGTTGGTATACTTTTAATTGGAGGCACATTGAAGACCCAAATCACCATCAGATTGATCAGCCAAGCTGCTCTTTTCTTGTTGGCTTACCAGTTTCTTCAGCCTACTGATGTATTGAACCGCAAGGTGATTTGAGTGAACATATAGATTATAGACTAGCAATTTACTGTTGGGTCTGTTTTGTGGAGATGTAGTTTTCCTTCCTTGCAATAAGCGTTTTGGGACGTTTTGTGTGCATTTGAAGTAATTGGTTAAGATTTATTTTCACAGTTCCACCTAGTAACTTAGGAATTTCAGTTATTCAGGATCTTAAAATATCCTTATGTATACCAAACACTTGAGAGGTACCTTTTAATTAAACCAGTGTGTGATTGATTACCTTTCTTAGAACAAGTGTTTGAGTTCAGAGAATTTCTGTTTACAGAACTCTTAATATGGTGGATTTAAATGCTTCAACCATAATTCCTGATTTTGCTTCTGAATGTTTTTTTGTATATATATTTTTTTTAATTGTGTTTAGTTGTGTACTCTCCAATGTACTGATACTGATTTTTCAAGTGTGAATTCAATGAGTTTTACACTAGTGGGAAACTATTATGGGACTTCATGTAATATTTCACTATGTTATGTGAAGTGCAGTAAATTTGACACGGTTTTACATTATTGAATTTGTTTTGGAACTGATTGTCATTGTCTGTTTTCCCTTTTTATATTCTTTGTATGGAGGGTAGATGTTTTTTTCTGGGTACAATGCACTAAACACGTTTGTTCATGCACAGACAAGAAATTTAACATTTCACAAGTGTTGTGACACTGGTAAACTAGCAGAATTTTAATGATGCTGCTTGTTCAGCTGATCCATTTTGCCTGGGAGAATAATTAGAAAGACATGAAGAACTTAATATAGAATTTGGAGTTGCGTGGTGGGGCCGTGGTTATTATCGCTGCCTTGCAGCATTGGGTCAAAGGTGCAGTTCGGAACCTGGGGTGCTATTGGCGTGATGTTTGTGAATTCTCCCCATTTTTGCCACATGCTCTGATTTCCTCTCGTAGTACAAAAACATACTGGTAGGTTAATTGGATTCTAGAAAAACTGGCTGTGGTGTGAGTGTGTGGGTGTGGGTGTCTGTGTGTCCGCCCACGTTAGACTCTGATGGAGTCCTGCCCAGGGTGTATCCTGTCTTGCTCCCGTTGCTGGCCAGGATAGGCTTCACCTCCCCGTAACACTGAATTGAATGAAGTGGTTAGAAAGTGAATGGATATTACAGATTTTCTAAGATTTTCAGAAAGCAAGAAATAAATGGTGGGAGTGCTTGTGAATTACTGCTCATTACTGACTTACAGAGAATGAATTTGGTTCATTATTTTATTCCAAGAAATTGAGGATTATTTACTGCATATAAATTTAGTTTCACAGGCAAAGTATTGCTACAGGGATTATGCAAGACAATATGTAAATGTGTAACATGGCTTTGCCTGCAGAGAGGTCTAATCCCCACTATGAACTCTGCAAACAAAATAATTTCATTCAATTATTTGGTTCAAAACACCCAGTAAAATGGCAGTGTTGAAAACTATAAAAAAAATACAGATCATATCTTTTAGAGTTATAAATGAATTATATTTTAAGCATAATTTATATTTTTATATTTGGTAGATCAGCTACCTGGTTCATTTTATCATGTTGTGTAAAGCCTGCTTGAATTCCTTTGTCACAAGCACCTCTACACACTGTACTTTTTAAGTATGTAACACGACTCAAAAATATTCCATAATCATGTCTGCTAAATGAGTACCTGTGTGCAACTTAATATAAATCCCTGCACTAGTCTTTTATAGCTACTGTAGCAACCCTAATTAATGTATTTGATGCAAATCTACATTTTACCATCAATCACTTGTCAGTTCCAACTGGTTGGAATCCAGATATAAAATTGCAATTCACTTGTTTTTTCATAAAAAAAAACTACACAAATGGGTTATTAACGTGAGGGGACTGTATAGACCGAACACCCATTTTTGGGGAACAAGCAGAGAACATTTTTTAATGATGATAGACTAATGATTACTTAACACCTATTAACATTAGTGATTAATACATCTAAGAAGTGGTTTGCACTTGTATTTCTTGCACAAAGTTGTCATTAAAATGTGGGCAAACAATTACTGAATTTAATCCAACATCTTTTAATACTGCCAAAGACTATTTTGTTAAATCCTGGATGAAAATGTATGCGATGTCTGTACCCTTTGTAAATACTTTATTTAAATAAACTTTTTCTACATAATTTGTTTCTTTTACTTGGCAAGGCTAAATGTATATTTTCACCAGCACTAGATGTTTTTCACCACCTCCTGTACAGCAAGAAGTGTTGCTTATATTAATGTTAAAAATAAAAGTATGCAGTGATATGTTACAATATTTATGCATCATAGCTCTTAGG